ACACACACACACACACACATTCATTCACACTCACACGCCTTATCAAACACACATATTTGGATCCCAGAGGAGACAGACCCCCAACTGGTGTACACCAGCAGGGTTGCTGATCCTGTNAAGTCATTTATGTGTAAACGTAAAGTTAAAGTTCATTAACACAAGCTGATGTTCATATTAATGTGTTAGGCACTAACTCCTTATGAGCTATGCTTTAGGCCCTAAACACAACAGAATATAACTCAAGCGTTGAGTTATGTTCTGTTGTGTTTAGCATCAAAGTGGTAAGGTGCCACAGGTGGTTCAAGTGATACTTCCAGTTCTTATTTCCCATTTAAACGCACTGGGCCCGTACTGTTGAAACATTGTGTCGTCCTTCCCTGGGTTAGCAAAAACATACACACACACCAACAACCACCACACACACATTAACTCACATGGTCTCCATGACAATGATGGGGGCGACAGTAAGGCGGCAGGATGGCGCTATGGTGTTCTGACCATAGACCCAACCCAATCATAATATATTCACTGTATCTGAGCAATGGCTACAGGTGTAAGTACATTAGTGGGGACATTTTAATGCATCAGAGAAAAGTCAGTTAGGACAACAGACGGGTCTAATGCAAACAGTCTGTATATTATTTCATATTTGTATTATATATACTGTTTTGATCAGGTAAAACCCCATATTAAAAATACTTTGGTTGGGTTAGGGTTTGTGTGTGTGTGTGTGTGTGTGTGTGTGTGTGTGTGTGTGTGTGTGTGTGTGTGTGTGTGTGTGTGTGTGTGTGTGTGTGTGTGTGTGTGTGTGTGTGTGTGTGTGTGTGTGTGTGTGTGTGTGTGTGTGTGTGTGAAGTAGGAGGGTATCTGCTATTGACTTTGACCATCAAGACTTAACGATGAAAGGAAAAGACACATCATTGTAGATATTTTAATCATTACATATGTATACTCTAACAATTCACTTGAACATTATGTAGTTCTTTGCACAATACTTGAAAGCAAGGTTACCTGAGAACCAGAACAACCTGGCGTTTTGAGTGAGTGAGGCTGCTTTAAATAAAACTGTGCAAGAAATATTTTGAGTCTCATAAACTTCATTATCAATATCATTTGAATAGTTTAAATAGACCTTTTTCAGATTAAAGGGGATTTTACATAGTTCTTGTTTTTGAATAATCATATTCTATTACCTTTTCTATCCTGTTACACACCATGTTCTCTCTAATAAACTTTTGTTACCCTTTATTGCTGCTTGAAAAAGGAAGGCTGCTCTGCGTCGCAATGGGATAAGGACCCAGCACACGACACGAGTTTCTGCAGGTAGATATCCTCACAGACCCTGATCCCATCTCAGAGAATGTTCAGCCGCCGCCCCCTTTTGGTCAGAAAATGTATCACAGTTTCGGTCTCACCGGATACAAAAAATTGGTACATTTCACATTGTGGCATCTAGTGGACAACTTGTGTAGAAGAACTTGGTTGAAAAACATTACATTTGAACTATTATTAAATTGACTTATTTACTTACTTTATTTGCTGCTATCCAGTCAGGTGTACACTTGCACTTGACAGGCACGACTAAATGAAGTAGAGCAATTGTCACATAAGATTGTTGTATTGTTTTAGTTTGACCAGTCAATACATGCTGTGTGAGAAATTTTTACTGCAAAAAGACTGAAAATGTACCAAACTGGATGACGAAAAAAATGTACAAATGAATGAAAAAATATATAGAGATTGCTTTTTGATTTACTTCTATTATTATCTTTATCCACAGGAGAAAAACTTGGAATAGCTGAAAGACTAGCTAAAGTCCCAGTATTCAGAAACTTCTCCAACAGATCATCAGGTAATAACACTTCAAACAGGGCAAACAGAACACAATTTAATCATACAGTAACTAATTCAACTTCAGAATAATAAGGTCAGCTTTACATTTGGACAATATTATTTATCCCAATAATGGAAACATTATTATACTTACAATGTTAAAAGCTTATAAAGATGTGTAGCTTTTACATTTCCTCCCAGGGATCAATACAGTTTTTATCTATAATAATGCATCATCATTTACTGGTTGACTACAATTAGTAATGTTAATCTTTATTTGCAAAGCCTAGCAACTAATATTATCCAAGCTATGTGTAGTGGAACATAATAAACAGTTAATGTAGTGGAGTAGAAGTATCAGTAAATAGCAGTTAATGGAAATATTCAAATTAAGCCAAGCCAAGCCTACCTAACAACAATTGTTCTTAAGTAGGCCTGTTGAGTAGAGTTACTTTCCAACGCAGAACACAAATAATGTGGCTAAATCAGGGTAAATCCAGTCCTACAAGCTCTCTTTGACCTCATATAATTGTACCTTTCATAATTAAATCACTTTTACATAGTCACCACAGCGCTGTGTGCAATGAGATGAAAGGTTTCATAAGCCATGTTGGAGCGACTGTCAAGATAGTTCCCCTCCTACTCTTAATACCACAGTGGAATCAACCGTTTACTACTCTGTTACAAATTGACACCATAATACCTTCTATTTCAGATTACACCACGTTAATCCCTTAAAACTAGGGGGAGAATAGAAGCAATAAATTCATAGCTGGTCACTTTTGAGCCGGAAAACATTATGAGCGCAAAAACGGAAGTAGACCACAGTGTATTGTCTTGACTCCTCCGTCAGTTTCCGCCCAGCCCTTCTCTGACCAATCAGCGGAGCCGTCACAGCATCCTCCAGGGCCGCTTGAGTTCGCGGGAAACCGGCTCTAGTCGAGATACGAGAAAGGACCCAGGATAAAACGGCTGTCTTTGGTAATCAATCAGTGTGTTATAATTCCATCTATTTAAAACCGTTACGATTAAAACAGGGAAGTGACACAGCTCAAAACTGCCGTGTTTTTATGACTGCAGCCCTGGCTGCTTTGCTAACACCCGACGCTTGTTAGCTAGGTTGTCTTATTGGCTAACAGGAACACTGTGCTTCATGCGACAGGACAGAGAGAATACTACTGACTTGAAGGAGACAAAGGGCTGCCGCTGTCAGACACGCACCAGACTGTTAACATGTTCAACTTAGACCGTTTTCGTTATGATAAGAAGACGACAAAAGACAACGAAGAGGATAGTGGGTCCCAAAGTCCCGAGTCTGAGAAGGAGAACAAGCCAGGTAACGATAGCTAGCTGATGTAAAGGCTAGGCTACTGTGCTGTTAGCCAGATGTGTCATATATGCTATCGTTAGCAGTAGTTAAAACAAGATGGTATTCATTATCATGAAGCCTTTTGCTACGGGTCAAAGTGACTCTTTCCCCCAGTGGGGTAGACTTCCATCAAAATGCATTCACTACCTAGTAGATTAATTATATCTCAATTGTCAATATGTAATATGTAGTTCAAGTCGTTTGGAAAGGGAATTGTGTGTGGGCATTGAATAATCTAGTATACAAAATCCCCATCCCTAAAGGAGGTTCTGACATTATTCTCAGGATTCACTCTCACTGTTATCATCCAACCAGAGCTGCACTGAAATAATAATGAAATCTAGTTTTAAATTCTACAGTATCCAGATATCATGATGGACACTCATTTTAATATGAGAGACAAGCAGGTGAACATTGACATGTGTCATAAAAGCCAAAATAGCTGAATACTTTTCTGCTAACAGTTAGTAGTGTGCATTACTGCTGTGAATTTAACTTGTTTTAATATTTTGCCTTGCAGCAAAGATGAAACCGGTCAAAGACCAAACAAAGTCCAATGCCCGAGGAGTGGTTTTTGAGGAAGTCCTTACAATTGACCTAGAGGAGGATGAGCTCATCTCTGAAACAAAAAACAAAACATTAGCTAGGAAGTTCAAGTAAGTGTAAACTAAAATAACTTTTCACATTTATTCGGATTCATTCTGGTTTACAGTTTTGTTGTCTTTATAGAAACCCCATAGGAAAATCATCAAAAAATGTGGCATCAGATCACACAGATGACGAGGACTGTGAACTGAAGGAGAAAACTGACAGATTACTGGAGATGTTTCCTCAGTTGACAAGAACGCAGGTACTGGAGGTGAGTCGAGGTTGAGGATTTTTAAGTTTTTGGCATTGACCAAATTAATTAGATTCCAAGGAAAAGCCCATTTTCAAAGTCTGTATTGTGGTCTGGTCTTACTTGATTGATTTTAATGTTCACCGATTTAAGCTTTATGTGTTTCATTTATGTAATGGCAGCTATAACATGGACACTGTTCACAAAAAAACAATATTTTTCTGATTTGTCTCATTTTCAGGTAATTAAGAACACAAGCACATTGGATGGGGCTGCAGCTGAATGCATTTTAAGATTTGGTGATAAAGAAGGTAAATCATTTATTTGTTATAAGGACATGCTTAATTCCTGCATGTCGTTGTAGCATGAAGAAGGTTTAGTTCATAGTTAGAGAAAAGTAATCGGCGGAAGTTTTACTTTGTGTTTATTGAAATTCATTTATATTTGATGCTTGCTTCGAACCAGAAACACAAGTAACATACTGTAAAAACACCAAATTAAAAAAAAAGCCTCCCTAGCTTGCAACTTTTCTCCTCCAGTTGGATATTTTGAGAGCACTGGCTGTTTTGTCTCCTCAGCCCCAGACCAAGGCAGGAAGAGAAAGCAGGATGGATCCGGCAGTTCTCAGGACAGTGGTGAGGATCAACCCAGCAAGAAGAACAGGCCATTAGAGGTAAGATAAAGAATGATAACTTCATGGTTTAAAGCAATCTACACAACAATTAAAGTTCCTGTTATCTTAGTAGCCATTTCATCATACACTGCAAAGAAACACAACTTTTGGTTTGTTGCGCTTCGTGTAAAAGAAGGTTTTATATATATTATAGACCCTCCAGAAAAACGCAGGCAAAATTCCTTGATTATGCGATTAAACATGAAGGGTTTTTATGTGATTTTATGCGGTGAAATTGCGGGAAGTTGCGAAATATGCTAAATATTTTTTTTTTTAATATTGGGCTG